GGTGTATGGGTTGATGAGGTTGTTGAATCAAGGATGATGTTGATGAAGGCTTGTGAATGAGGGGTGGGGATGTTTTGATGAGGGTTGTGAAATGAGGGTGAATGTTTGAATGGAGGTTGTGAAAAATGAGGGTTAAATGTTTTGAATGCGAGGCCCTGTGGAAAATGAGGGTGATGTTTGATGAGGTTGATGGGAATGAGGGTGGAATGTTGATGAGGTTGTGAATGAGGGTGAATGTTTTTGAATGAGGTTGTAAAAGGGTGATGATTGCGGTGGTGGTGAGGATGAGGGTTCAATGAAAATGGAGGGATGGTGGTGGTGGTGGATTGAAATGAATGAAATAGTTGACGAAAACTTAAGAATTGGTAGCGGCGTGGTGAACGATGAATAAAAAATGAGGATGATGAAGATGATAGTAGCGATGGAGGTGATGACAGGAAAACGAGAATGAGAATGAAGTGTTCCCAACTAGTCAGCATTCCTTCCGGTATTTTGCACATCAACAAGTTTCCCGAAGACCCATCGCTGCAACAGACAATTTACTTCTAATCTTTCATTTTCAATCTAATTCAAACTGCCTATAAATCTCAGATCTAAATTCTAAATTTCAGATCTGATTCACTCTACTTCTAAATCTCAGATCTAACTTCTAAATTTCAGATCTAATTCAATCCTAACTTCTAAACTTTCATTGCTATCTCTATGGTAGGCCCTGTAAGTGAGTAAATGTAAATGAATAGATAAGTTGAATGAATAAAGGTAATTGATCATGTGAAATGAATACACAAATATTGATAACTAAATGAATAAAAGAATTGATAAGCGCAATGAATAAAAGAATTGATAACCAAATGAATAAAAGAATTGGATAACTAAATGAATAAAAGAATTGAATAACTAAAATGAATAAAATAGATTGATAACTAAATGAATAAAAGAGTGATAACTAAACAAATAAAAAGAAACACGATAACTAAATTAATAAAAAGAATTGATACTAATATGATAAAAAATTGTAATAACTAAATGTAATGAAACGAAACCTGATAACTAACATGAATAAAAAGAATTTTAAAAACTAAATGAATAAAAGAAAGAACTGGATAACTTTAAATGAATAAAAGAATTGATAATAATGAAAATATGCAAATAGATAAAAAAATCAATTCATCAAAGAATGTCGAGAGCTTGTTTAAGTCTAACACCGCCAACCGACCATGTTCTTATTCCTTTACTGGTTCGTCTAGCTTATCAGGAACCCAGATTATATCCGAGTGCAGACCAACTAAGGTATATCAAACCCTTAGTTGGACCCCAGCCTAATCGGACTTCCAGCTATAATCTGACTCGCCGGACACAACGGCACCCCCGCCATAATGCGAAAAACATATAAAACATACCGGAACCCCATATATTCCACTAATCGGAACCCCAGTCATACCGAACCCTCCAGCTATGATCCCGGTCCCCCAGCCATATCAGACGCCCCAGACAATGCCGGTTCCCCAGTCATAACGGACCCCCATTTCATATTAGGAACCTCCCCAGACAGTATCGGGAAGCCCCTAGTCTATATCGGAACAATTGGGATCGCGCCAGCCCATAACGGACCACCAGAAGCACCGGAACCCCCAGACACGGCCGGACCCCCCAGACACAGGGATACCGGATCCCCAGCCCATACCGAACCCGCCAGACACACGAAAGACCCCAGATACACCGGACACCCAGACAACACGGCGGACCCCCAGACACACCGGACCCCCAGACACACCGGATCCCCCAGCCCATGACGCTACCCGAACCCCCAGACACAACCGGACGCCATCAGATACACCGGACACACCAGACACAAACCGGAACCGGCCCAGACATCCGGACCCCCCCAGACACACCGAACCCCATATCCATAACTGGACGCCCCAGACACACCGGAAACCCCAGAACACACCGGAACCCCAGACACACGGCCGCCCAGACACAAGGGCCGGACGCCCCAGACACTACCGGACCCAGACACGCCGGACCGCCGTTCACATAACAGACCCACAGCCCATACCGGACTCCCAGACACACCGGAACCCCAGACACACCGGAACCCAGAGACAACCGGACCCCCAGACACAACCGGAACCACCCAGACACAGCCGGACCCCCAGACATACCGGACCCCAGACAACGCCGGACACCGCGTTTTCATAACAGACCCAGACAACACCGACCCCCAAGCCCATCACCGGACTCCCAACATACGACTCCCAGACACACCGGAACCGCCAGACCACACCGGACCCCCAGAACACCAGACTCCAGACACACCGGCACCCAGAGCACCACCCGGCCAGACACACACCGGACCCAGCCGCGTTACTGCACCATCCATATCTCTAAAGCCGCTGTCGATGACGTCTGCGCCCGCTCCCTTCAGGTACTCTTCTCAAAGGGGCGCGGTCGCCAAGCTAGAATGAGGGTGAGGCCGAGCCGAGGGAAGGGTAAATAGGGTGAGGTATGAGGTGAGTTCTGAAGGTTAAACAGCTGGGTGAAGGGAGAGGTAGAAGAGATTTTAACGAAAGGACAGTATACTTGAAGATAGTTTTCAAAATGAAATGAAAAAAGAAAAAAAAAAATCTAGACACTTTGACGGATAGCTTTCTTATAGAACGAAAAAAAAAGAAAGTATAATGCAAATAAAAACAAAAAAAGTCAGATACCGTAAGGATAACCTTCTATAAAAACAAAACCAAACAAAAAAAACATGAAAAACAGAAAAAACGGTATTTGTATCTGTTTTAAGATAATCAATTCCTGATTTATCCTCTATGCATCTGGAGTATTGGAAGGATGACATGACACCATCTAATGCCGTATGTGATCACCATTGCTGCGTATGTATGGTCCTCCGATAATAGCTTCAAAGGGGATGCGGAAATGTATTAATAAATGAGCCAACGCATGCACGCATCCATTAGCATATGCGTACATCTGAACTACTTCGACACACCCGCCTCCTACCTCACCACTCCTCCAATCACTCTCTAACAACGTCCTTCCTCCACTTCAATCCTCCTACCGCGTCCTACCTGCACCACTACTCTGCACACCACTCTCATCTCTCACCTCCTCCTTTAGCGCGGCTCTCGCTCGTTCACTCTCCTACTCTCCTGCCATACGCTGCCTACACTCTACGTCCTCATCTCCAATCCTCCTACCCCTCGATCCTCCAGAATATGTCCTACTCCTGCACACGCTCGTCGACACTACTCCATGAAACCTCCTCCTCACTTACATCATCTCCTCTGCATTCATCTACTCGCGGGCAAGACATGGAACAGTATACGAGTGACAGTGAAGGTTAAAGCGATGACATGAAATGGTTGTTCTGTGCTTGTTTGTCACTGGCCGAATGAAGTCAATATTTGCAACCTCTGTACATCTCTCGCTCTCTTCATAAGATGGTCCATACTCTAAGTCTAGCCCGTAGTGTGCTATAGTCTGTGGTGGCTAGAGGTTAGGTGCGGTAATACTCTTGTAGCATATATCGCACAATAAGATTTAACACAGTATTGTGAATAACTGTATTGTAGCTAGGCAATGTCAGTCGCAGATAGCGAACTCCATCGACATGGACGATGCTCATCCAATCTGCTAGTACAGAGCGGCATTACCTCCTGCCATTATACCTCTAAACTTCAACTAGTGCCATTCATAGAAGAAAATGCAATGACTTAGCTCATGGCTCATCTATAACTACGAAAGAGGCCATAGGGAGGCCCTCTTGCTCTCTCTCTTCCCCCTCCCCCCTCTCTCTTCTCTTTCCTCTCTCTCTCTCTCTCTCTCTCTCTCTCTCTCTCTCTCCTCTACTTCTCTCTCTTCTCTCTCCTCTCTCTTCTCCTCTCATCTCTCTCTCTATCTCTCTCTCTCTTTTACTTCTTCCTTTCCTCGACTCTTTCTCTCTCTAATTCTCTCTCCTCTCTCTTCACGTCTCTCTCCGCCTCGTCCGATAATCACTAGCTCGGTTCGCTCTCACTCCTCTCATCTCTCATCTCTCTCTCAAAATTTTGCACTCACATCTCCATTTCTCCTTTCCTCCTCCCGACCCCCTTCTTTCCCCTCTCCTCCTCCTTTCAACCAACCTCGACCACCTCTCTTGCTTTTCTCTTCCTTACAGGATGTAAAAGGAAACAACAAACGAACTATTCTCTTCCGTCGTTGGGGGAAATTGTTTTGCCTGGGTTAACCGGTCAAAAAACCGGGGGAAAATATAGCAACCAGAAAGTTTTTCCGTGTAAGGAAAGGCGAAATGAAGAGTGGGGTGGGCAGTGGGGTTGGGGGGGCGGAAACCTAATTTGTGTCCTTAGCAGTTTTGGAAGTGTTGGGAGGAGAGAGGGAGGGGAGTAGAGGAGAAAGAGAGAGAAGAAGAGAGAGGGAGGGAAGGGGATGAGAGAAAGAAGGCAGAGAAGAGAAAGAAAAGAGAGCGGGAGAGAGAGGGAGAGAGAGGCGAAGAGAGAGAAGAGAGAGAGCAAAATATAAAATAAGGGAAAAGAAAGAATAAAAAAAACTCGAAACACATACAAACCCAAATCCCGAAACAACACACACACCACACATACAACCCCCCCCCCGACCAACCACGAACACACTGACGTCACTCCAGACCACTCGCCCCAAAGACCACTAAAAATCAACAAACAAACAAAAAAAACAAAGAAAAAAAGGTACAAAACAATAGACCCCCTTCACATTCGGTCTCAAAACACACTCTTCCCTGTTTGTCCCATGTCCCATACCCGGACGTAGCAGACCTTTTGACATCGATTCAGGTGATGAATTGGTGTTAAAATCCTGGTTCTTCTTCCATCAGGTGTTCAACTCTGGGTTCTTTCATCAGGTGATGTTATGATGGATGAAGGATATTGGTGTTTGTTTGTTGGTGGTGACGGATGTTTATTATTATTATTATTATTATTATTGTTATTATTATTATTATTTTATTAAATTATCATTATTGTTATTATTACATTAATTATTATTATCATTACCATTATTATTATCATTATTATTAAAATTTATTATTACTATTATTATATATATTTTATATTATTATTATATTATTATTATTATATTATTATCACATTATTATTATTATTATTATTCCATTATCATTATTATTATATTATTATTATTATTATCATTATTGTTATCATGATTTTTATTATCAGGCCTTTATCCTTATATTATTGTTATCATTATCATTATTATCATTGACTTTATTATAATCACTGTCATTAGAATTATCATTAGCATTATTTTTATTGTTATCATTACTATTATCGCTATCATTTTTGTCATTGTTAATATGATTATCATTATATTTATTAATATTATCATCAATTTACCATTATCATTTTCATCATTATTATTGTCATTGTTATCATCATTCTTTATTTTCAAATCATTATCATTTTTTATTATTACTATCATCATATACTGCTATCATCATCATCATCGTCGCTTATTATATCATTGCTATTACACATTACCGGTCATCATCCATCATTAGCTTCACTGTTACAACGGCCACCATCATCACTAACATGCTCATTGACAGTGCACATGTCAAGGGGAAAATAAATCACGTGACTCATAGGCTGACAGTAGGACCACCTAACCAGCGACATGAAGAAGAGAGAGAAACATAAAGAATGAAGTTATAATGAAAAATAGATAGATTAAAATAGGAGTAAATGTATGAATATATAATGAAGAAATAAGGGAAGATAAGTGAATGAATAAGGGGACTGATAAGTGAATGAATAAGGGAACTGGTAAGTGAATGAATAAGGGAACTGATAAGTAAATGAATAAAGGAATTGATATGTGAATAAATACATGAATACGTAAATCAATAATTTAATCATCCACTTATCAAAAAACACAACATTAATCATCCACTATTAAATCAAAACAAACCAACAAAGAAAATAAAAACCAAAATACCCACAACAATAACCCCCCAAAAAACAACAACAACAACAACAACAACAGTAAATAAAACAAATACAACGCCCATTTCTCCCCACAGCCTCCCGTAGCCCCAGCATGGCAACACGAGAGAGAGAGACAGACATAAGCCTCAACATCCTCTGTATCTCTTAGTCACGTGCTCTCCCGTGCTCGCCCGCCCACCACGCAGCGAAAGCCGTGTCTCGTGCACGTTTTTCGACACGTTTTTCGGGGCAACGCACGGAGATGAGATTAGGATTAGGATGAGGGAGTGAGAGGGATTTGGGGGGGATTAAGGATGGGGAGGGAGGAGAGAGGGATGGTGAGGGAGAGTGATGGTGATATTGGGTTAAGGATGGTGAGGGAGAGGGATTATGGGATTAAGGATGGTGAGGGGAGCGAGAGGGATGGTGAAATTGGGATTAAGGATTAGAGAGGGTGACTAGAGTGAGAGGAACGGTCTTTTTTGGCGGGAAAAGGAGCTACTCATCTGTCCAGCGGTTTTTAAAGTCTAATCTAGCGGTTTTTGATTAAGATCTAGTCTAGCGGCTTTTAAAATTCAATCTAGCGGATTTTGATTAAATCCAGTCTAGCAGCTTTTAATTAAAATCCAGTCTAGCGATTTTTAATTAAAATTCAATCCAGTGGCTTTTAAAATCCAGACTAGCGGTTTTTAATTAAAATTCAGTCTAGCGGCTTTTAATTAAAATCTAGCGGTTTATAAAGTATAGGCTAGCGTTTTTCGCGGAAATATCACCCGCAGCACCATAGAGTGAGAGGGATGGTGATGATAAAAGAAAATAATGGTGAAAATATGTTGACATGAGTGATAATAACTATTTTAATGATGATGATAATTATGTTAATGTTAATATGAAATATTAGGTAATAATGATGACTGTTATTATCATCCTTATTATTACCATTATGATTCTTATTCTTATTAGAAATAATAATGATAATGATAATAATGGTGATAATAATAATTATAATAATATGAATTATTGTTATTATCATCATTATTATGATCATAATAATGCTAAAAACAATAATGACGATAATAACAATAATTATGATAATGATAATTCATATTACTATCATAATCATTATTATTGTTGTTATTATTATCACTGATTTGTTATAGCTGTTATCATTATTATAATCATTATCATTAATATAATCGTTCTTCCTCTTCTCATTATTGTTATCATCATTATCATTATCAATATCATCACTATTAAATCATTATTATCATTATTATCTTTATTATTATTATTATTATTATCATTAATGCTGTGTTGTTGATGTTGATATCATTATTATCATTACTATAATTATTGTCATTATTATTGCTATGTATTATTGTTTGTTATTGTTGTTAGTATCATTATCATTAATTATTATTTATTTTCATTACCATTATCATTATCAATCATCATCATCATCCCATCATCATCATCATTATTTTTCATTATTATTATCATTATTACTATACTTTATTTGTTATCAATATTTTATTATTTTACTTACTGCTACTACTATTAGTACAGCCATTATTTTGATTAATTATCATTTTTTATTACTATTATTATCATCCTCATTATTATGTAAATTATTATCATTACTACTACCACTAATATTACCATTATTATCATAATTATAATCATTATCATAATTTTCATTATTAGCATTGCCATCATCATCATCCTTTTTATATTTATTATCATCAGCATCATCAGTATTACTGTAAATATTAATATCATTATCATCATCCTTTTTGTTATTATCCGCCTTTATTATCAGCAGCATCAGTATTACTGTAAATATTAATATTATCATTATCGATATCATTACAATCATTACTGCAGATAATGCTATTATCATGATTTTTATCGGGTTCATCAATGGTTTGTAAAATCAGCATCAATGACTTTGTTAGCATTGTTATTCTTAACATCAATGATTAACCTTTAGCGTTATTTGTTATTAATATCTTCACCTTTGATTTTATCATTATTATATATAAAGTCACTGAATATCATACTCTCTTTTAATTTCACAACACAGCTGATATGTTATCTTTATAATCCTCTCATAATTTTGTATGATAAGACTGGAGATCAATTACCTTATCAAGATCAGATTATAAAGAAGGAAAACCCCCTTTTTTTTTTTTTTTTTTGCTCTTATCTGAATTGATTCGTTGCAATCTTCAAAAAAAAGGAGATTATTATATATCAGACATCCTCTCGATTGGCCTGAGTC